CACATTGGTCTGGTGATGACATCTTTTTGTGTAAGATGAGTTGACTCAACCAATGTTGTATTGATTCTAATGTAGTGATCCCAACTCTCATTTTTCTCTAGTAAACCACTTTAGAGGACACGTCTGTCTGCTCATCTTCATCATAATTTAGCATGTTCACTGTGATCTGCCCGTAGCCACATGGCTGTGGCCAATAACCCCATTAATCATGGACACTTATCAAGTATGCTTCCTGCAAGGGATCAATAATGTGATAGCTTCCCTGAGGTCTTTGTGCAATGGGGGCTCCTCCAATTGGAAGGCTGATTGGACACTCAAGATTCCAATGGAACCTGGTGACCATAAACAGTCCATGGAGTCTTCTGAAGGTTCTTCTAAAGCAGGTGCAGGCAACCTTCTGCACTCCAGATGTGGTGGACTACATCTCCCATACAGTCATAATACAAGTAAAGCATCATGGGAGATGTAGTCCACCACATCTGGAGTGCCAGAGGTTTTCCATCCACCTCTGCTTACCTGATCCTGGGTGGCTATATATCAAAATAATTTGTCCAGAAGATGGCTGAGAAGTATGGAAAACCTCATCTAACAATCGTTGAATGATCAATGATGAGTGCTCTGTTCTGAGACCACCACATATCATATGTATTTATTTTTAGGAATGTTGGTATCTGATTGAAAGATGTTAGAGCTGTGGATCTTAAAACATGTGGTTGCCTTTAAGAAAGAGTAAGACAATGGCTTTCGGTCTCTATTATACTGCATAGGAGACTGTCTAAACTTAAAGGACGTCAGAATTGCACACATTGGGGTTTCACCAAATCTCCCTTTCCATTTTTGGTATTACTTCACTAAACATAGAATAATTGTAGATTTTTTTTTAAAAAAAACGGTAAAATAGTAAAATTTGGGCAAAAGAAGTGCTGTTTTGGAAAACATTCTCCAACTCCGCTAAAGCCACAAATCGGTCTGAATTTTATAGTTTGGAATTTAATTAATTTAAATTTCATATTAATGTGACTAATGTATATGAAAACCAAATGGCAAAATAATCGACCAAAAAGTTTTCAATTGTGATTTCAATTCCATGAATTAAATAGCAACATTTAGTCCATGCAAGCTGATCTGGAAGAATTCTCATCTCCTCTACAATAAGGCTGGCAATTGTAGCCTATTCTGCCATTCTGATTCGGAGTTTAGTTAATAAGCCCCAGTGGGAAATGAAAACAGACTTGAAACTTGTGTATTCCAACATTTCATACTGTAGTGAAAAACCCCAGTAATAGGTCTTTTAAAAATATTTTAGAAGAAGCTTGATCCAGTTGGTATTGTTCTGGATCATTATAAATGATATGTATGGGAATATTTAAAGAAATCTGTCATTAAATTTGACATAAACGTTCATGTGGGCAAATAAATCATTCTTAAACCCTAGAAATCCTTATATCTCCATCTAGTGTGCATTTAGTATTCAGCAAGTAAACAGTAACTGTGTTTTCAGTCATTGTAAATATGTTAGGTACATATATATGAATATAGTGATATAATATGCTGATTTAACGTATTTAAAAAGCCAGACTTTGTTGACTAAGCTTTGTATTAAAAAAACTGTATAAATGGCATCTATGGCAATATATGATGAAAAATATTTGAGTTGTAAATATTGCTAGATTGGGTACATTGTTCTACATACAGTAGGCCTCAATAACCTGTTTAACGAATAAACCCCTAATAGCATAATTATAGCTATAAAGAACTAGGGTCACACGTTGTTTGAACCTTTAAGTGTCCGAGCCAAGGATCCATATACTGTATCTTACCATATACAGTCAGATCTGGGTAGCTAAACTTCTAAAAGTGGAGCAACATTCTACTGGTTTCCATGGTAACTGCTCCACTGTCAAAACTTTTTTTTTTTTAATATTCTTTCAACTTATTTCTCATTCCAGGACAGATCGCAATTTAGAAGCCTTATTTCAGAGCTTATATATACATGTGCATTATTATATATACCTGTGCATTATTACATCACTGGAAGACCTTTTCATTACGGTTGCACATCAAATATCTTCCAAAGTTTCCATGTTTTGTTTTTGCATTTGTCTGGTTCCATTGAGTGTCTAGATACAGATAGATAGAAGGGTGTCTATTGCAGATTAAGTTTCATTCTTTGGCAGGCTTTTTTTGGGTGGTGTCATCTTTTGGGACCATATTACTCTTTTTAGCCTCTGTTGATTTGTCACAGCATTCTGAAGTACAAACAGCTGTCAAATAAAAGGATTCCCCAAAACATACTGGGAAATAGGCAAACGCTGTACTTCAGATAAATCGTGGGAGCATATCAATTTAAAAAATGACTGTAAACCTGTCTGCACAGGTGAGCATTTCTAAATAGTCACTTGTTTTAAGTAAAAACTTGTACATTTAATGCAATGGGGGAATATTAAATGTATCACTCATCCATGTGTTTGTGATTTATACATTGTAGGTTTATTAATGCTTCTTCATTGTATGAAAGATACATAATTTCTAAGAATCTCTCAAACATGTAGATATTTCTGCGAAGCACCATAAAATAACCAAGGGATGCTTTGATTGACACATGATCTCTAATTATGGGTTCCCCTGGTCAAATATACAAGGATGGCAGAAGAGACAGAGTAAAGGGGGAGTAGGGGGGGGAGAGGGAGAGAAAACTAACAATAAATAGAGAGAAAAGAGAGTCAATATCGAGTCTAGAGTCGTGTTATTGGCTGTTTTGGTCATTAATGGACCTCCAATCAAATATAAGCCTCTCTTGACCAAAGTGATGAACAACCTTGAAAGTTAGGCACCCTCTCCATTGTCCTACAAACAGAACACAGGCCTGGGTGTGATACCACGTGACCAAAGTGTGCTATAAAATGCCTCAATTTAAATTTATAGTAAATGATCACTATTGCTGTTAGTAATTCTACCAATCCATGTAAATTGCAGGAGTGTACACCTGACCATTAGGTATTGCAAACACGCCTGATGTACTATGCATACCACATACAGCACCCTTAACCTGGGGCCACATATATAATAATCTTATAATAAACTTATTTGAAGCATTTATGTTCATAGAGGAGGCTATGAAAACACACACACATACACACACACCCACCCACACACACACACACACTCTCTCTCTCTCTCTCTCTCTCTCTCTCTCTCTCTCTCTCTCTCTCTCTCTCTCTCTCTCTCTCTCTCTCTCTCTCTCTCTCTCTCTCTCTCTCTCTCTCTCTCTCTCTCTCTCTCTCTCTCTCTCTCTCTCTCTCTCTCTCTCTCTCTCTCCCTTATATATTTTCCCCACTAAGTCACCCTGAATGTGTCCTTAACAAGGCCTAGGTTACCATGAACTATATAGATACATCACCTTTGCCTCCTCCTATATAAAGTGACTCAGATTCCAGACAGACAAGGCTGCAAAAGCCAAGATGAATTTGTGGACGATGGTAGAAACAGATTGGGATAAAGGAAACAAGGGAAGGCTAGTTGCAGCCCTGAATGCGAGTCTTGTACGCCTTATTATCAAGTTAATTAAAGCCAGCATCTGACAATGTCACTCGACTGCAAAAAAAAAAGGGGGGGATTTAAATGCAGTGTCTCCCAGGATTTCATGTCAAGAGCTGGTTTCCATTGAGCTGCTGTGAGTCTGTTTGCTTAGAGCTGCACTAAGGATTCAAGGGGGTTGCATTTTAAAGAAAGCAATCTACATGGAGGCAATTATTAAATTTTGATGTTCAAAAAAATAATAAAAATAAGTAGGAATAAAACCACTTGCATGATTTATGTTTAGATTGAAAGGCTCAGAAAGAGATATGAAGGCTTGTGGGGCCATCAAAGACCCGTTCAAGCTTTAAAGACACACTCCAAGTCCTTCTAAGATATATCTTTTGAAGGCTTCTTGTTACATTCAAAAGGAGTCCATTTAAAAAATGTAGACATTGAAATTCAGCAAGGCAGTTGCTATGTGGACTTGAGGTCAAGTGAGGGACGGATTATATGCTTCTTCATAATAATATTAATTAAACAATTTGCATGCTAATAACTTAACAATTATAGAGGCTTCTGTTGAAAGATTTGGGTTATTACAACACGGCAATGTGAGTGCAAAGGGTCAGGGAGAGAAATTTCAACTCAAATTAACATTCTGTCAGCTCCTGAAAATAGGATAAATAAAGTCGAATTAATTCTTTATAATAAAGAGGGGGGAGGGGGGAATGGGGAGGAAAAAAAAGACCCCTTTTCTCCAGTATGGCTTGATTACCATTCTGTATTCAGACACACGTTTTGTGAATTCCTGTCCTGAAAATTCAACAGAAAATGAGGCATTTATTGCTACAGGCAAAATTTGGTCCAGAGGACACAGTTTACATTTAGTATTTATTGAGAGAGAAATTAAATTATGGTGAAAAGTGAAGCCCCTTGCCCCCTGACCTAGGAATTAATACCATCACTATTTTCTTATCTTAGTCTCAGGGTGTATTTTTCTTATCAATAATATTACAGTGTTTGAATAAATCTGCTCAAAACCCAGTTTGCATTTAAAGCCACAACCACTAACTCTGAGGATTTATTAAAAAATGTGAATAAAGAAAAAAAAATTGTTCAACTAAACAAACGTGTAATTTTATGTTCAGTATAAACTTATTTAGAAATGGGATATTAATAGAATAGGTCAGAGTATGATTGAGTAACATAGCTTCCTTTTCATTGACCTTTTACATATATATATATATATAATAATAGTAATTATAATTATATTATATTTTGTTTATAGTAAAAATATTATATTTTTAATATTATATGGATATAGTATATGTGTGTGTGTGTGTATAATATACACAGTGTCTAAATACTTTTTGAGGCGTATTTGTGTGTGTGTACAAGTGTGTTAAATAAAACATGTAATTACACCTATGTTTATGCACGTGTGTGTAATAATATATGTGTGTGTGTGTGTGTGTGTGTGTGTTTATATATTAATTTGACTAGCGCTTGCAAAGTTATCTGCATTTTAAAATTGATACAGCATTTATTCTAAAGCTTTTGGTTATGAATAAGTGCAGGTGAAACCCCTATATATTATTTATCTGTATATATTATCCCCATGCATGTTTCTCCCCCTATCCACTTCTGGGTCATCTGTTTTCTGGTTATCCTATGATAAGAGAAAACCTGGTAGAATATCTGATTGCAGTCATAAACCCATCTCCCTAGATACATAGAACAGTGGGGGACATTTTATACTGAGCCTAAAAGGATATGCAGACCTCTTATCCTGTTTGCTCCGTAATTGAAATATTTGCACTTCTATAGCTAGCTGTACCTTATCAAACAGAATACAAAAAAAGTATTATTTTTCAAACTCTTGCCTTATCCAACTTAAAAAAATATATATAAAAAAATATAATAATTAAATTTATGGTAACTCCCTCCCCTTCCATCAAGGGATCATGTATCAAAAAAATAAATAAAAAAAATACAAATAAAAGAAACATGTCCACACATTTTATTATTCCTGCCTTCTCTATACATCTCAGAAAGTCTGGTCTTTTATTATATTCTCAAAATTCTTTTCTGTGTCACTCAGTAAATCCCCCTATTAACTGCAGTCTTTCAGACATGGCTAACTTCAACCCAGTTTGACCAACAAGGTATTTGAATTTCCAGAGTCAATGAGAAGGATTCAGAAGATTGGCCCTTCCTGTTGATGTAATATATATATAAGATCTTTAAATACTGAATGTTGTAAAAAAAAAAAAAAAATGAAAAAACAAATCCCTTCCTTCTTCTGCATGGGCTGTGAGGAGATGAGAAGGCTTGTACTTTTAAATTCAATGTGACAGGTTTGGAAGAAAGAGATGATGAATTCTCCCTATTATTAGATCAGTCTATTTGCTGCTCAATGTCTCTCTGTAATTGGAGTAACATCACTTTAAAGGTTCAAAGAGTAGAAGCATTTCTGCTGAAAAAAATCCCTACAACAAGCATGTGAATGTTTTAAAGTGAAATCTATTAGTGGTTTTGAGAGGGAGGGGATAATGTGTGTGTGTGTGTGTCTGTGTGTGTCTGTGAGTGTGTGTCTGTGTGTGTGTTTTTCCTCCCTTTCCCAGTCACTGTGTAGTATTTAGCTGGGTATCAATCAGATACATTAAGTTCCACTCTAACCTCTTTCTCTCCTGGCATTCTACTCCCTCCCCCTTGTTGTGATGTAGTTTTTATCTCAGCCCCCCTTGTCTTGTTGTGACAGCCTTGATATTGTTTATTGAGGTGGATGTCAGGTATAATTAGCAATCGATATGGAAAACGCTTCCTGCAAGCCACGTCTCTGACGTCACAACCGATTAAGGTTTCTTATTGGTCCCAAATTCCCCAAGCCTGGGCTAATTATTGCCAGCTTGATGTTGATAAGGTAAAGCTCATCTTGGGCTGGAAGCATGTCACCTCCTCACTGGCCATTGCTGCTGCAGGCTTGCTAGGGTCCCACATCCAGCCTTGCAGCTTGTGGCCGCACCACCATAACCACCTCCACCACCACCATCCAGGGAGATGATGGACAGCAGGATACTGGACCATCCTCATGCCCAGTTTGGAGGCTCAATGAGTGGGATGGTGGGATTTCCTTACCCCCTCAGCCATCACCATGTGTATGAGCTGACCAGCCACCAGCTGCAGTCTGCAGCCGTGCCCTTCTCCATAGACGGATTACTCAACGGTTCGTGCACCGCCTCGGTGGTCAACCCCAACCCTCTGCTAGCCTCTGGATGTGGCATGAATGGGGACAGTCAGCAGTACAAGCTGTCAGGTAAGAGCCCAGCAGCAGGCATGCATGGGGGGCACGGGGGGCAAGGAGTGAGCGGTAATATACAAAGAAATCATTCCTGATTATTGTTACAAACAAAGCGATTGAATGACATACAGAGACACAGACACACAAAATGCTACATATTACAAACCGCTGGTGTTATTGTATCAAATGTAATGAGCTTTCATTTACAGCAAGCCACACACAAAGTCCTTATATACTTAACCAACAATTGGGAAAGGGGATCAAATAATCTAAAAAACGAGGGGCTGGGGATCTGTGAGGTCCTGTACAGTGTGTGTGTGTGTATGTGTGTGTGTGTATAAATATATCTATCTATATATATGTGTGTGTGTGTGTCTATAAAATTGTATACCTGTATAATGTTTAGCTTTTAATAAAAAGAACATAAAAAATATCTATCTATCCATCTATCTATCTATCTATCTATCTATCTGTCTATCTATCTATATATCTGTCTATCTGTCTATCTATCTATATATAATGTGTTTTGTTCTTTTTATTAAAAGCTGCAGAAAATTGGATAGTAGTACGAATTACACAATAACCGTGTACACTGCATTTTTAGGTTTTAAAATTTCACTTGAAAGTCTAGACTGTGAGTACAATGGTGTGAGGATGAAAGTGGATTTATTATATTATTAAAAGATATCAGCAATACCCTTATGACATCAATAAACAATTCATTGTTTAAAAAAACAAAAAAAATAAGCACACAAAAAAAAAACAAAACAGACAAATATTAGTCATAAAAAAAACCCACAAGGCAGCATGACGTTTAATGGAGTGGCTGACAGCTCACACTATGATACTCACGTGTACATCACTGGGATGCTGTTATTGTGGTAAACAGGAGTGGAACACAAACTAACACCAGGAAAATCCCAGGAAAAAAAACTAACGAAATGGGAAAGTAATAGGGACGCTTTGCTAGCTACGCGGTGTAAAACTGGGTAGCTGTTTGTTATATATATATAGATATATATATATATATTTTTTTTAATTTTATATCTGTTTCTTTTTTTTGTGTGCTAATTTTAGGACAAGTAAATGAATTTAATTTTAAAATATACACACATATACATGTGTATGTTATAGAAATAAATATACATCCCTTTTCTTTTCTTTTTTTAACAAATCATTATTAGAAATGTAGCTATGTACTAATGTCCATGTTAGGTTTTTAGATTTTTTTATACAATTAAATATAAATATTAATATATACATATATAAAACACATATGGTGTATAGGAGAGGCCGGTCCCCCTGTGTACCTGAGGGTCTCACAAGGTGACCACTTTTTGTTGTGGTGGTGGTGGTGTGATTGTCTGCAAGGCTTAGCTGCTGTCTGCAGGGCTGTCACCCAGCAAGCCGTGGGAATAGGGTACATGGTGGGATGGAAAAGGCATCTCTCTGCGGGGGGTACATTTCTATTTTCCAAATTCACTTTCCAAACGTGGGAAGTATCGTAAAACCACTTTGATCTGTGGCAGAAACAACATCACAAATCTGCATCCTGTTTCCCTTTACTATTTTCTTAGTTTTACGTGTCACTTGTTTATGTGTCATACAAGTGTATGTGTATGTGTGTGTTTGTTTATTATATATGTGTGTATATATACATATACTTATTGTGTGTGTGTGTGTGTGTGAGTGTGTGTTTATACTTTTAAGGACAATATATTTAGTTTGTGAGCTCATGTAGATTTGTCCCATTGTAGACTCCAGTGACCCGGATAAGGAGAGCCCTGGCTGTAAGAGAAGAAGGACAAGGACCAACTTCACCGGGTGGCAGCTCGAGGAGCTGGAGAAAGCCTTCAATGAAAGTCACTATCCGGATGTCTTCATGAGGGAGGCCTTGGCATTGAGACTGGATTTGGTGGAGTCCAGAGTTCAGGTACATACACTCCTACCTCTCCAGATCTATTTATATATTGCATAAATTATATACTATTTACCCTGTGCCAGGGAATATCCCCCCATCATAAATCATCTCCAGAATATATTTTATATATTTTATATATTCTATGCCAGGACAGTCAGCACTTATCCAGAACTAGATAGGATTCCCCGAATCAAAGTGTGCTTTAAGAACTTTTTAAGTTTACATTGTATATAGTTATTGAACCAAGTTCTCACCTATCCCTCCCCAGAGAAAAGTATACCTCCAGATCTGTTTTTCTATACATTGTATATTTTTGGTTCCAGCAAATCCTCCCCCATCCATAACTGGATATCCCTACCCAATTATGTGTCCATATTTTTAAATAAAATATATTCTGTGCCAGGCAAGTTTTCATCTCTTCACAACTATATACCCCTTCCCCAACTAAGTGTCCATTCAGATACATATTTTATAAAATGTACATAATCTGTTCCTTGAAGGTTTCCACCTATATATAACCGAATATTCCCTGCTCAAATAAAAATAATTTAGGTATTTATTCCAGACATTGTATATATTCTGTGACAGGATCCTTCTCACCTATCCATAACAATATACCCCATCTCAAATAAAAGTAGGCAGTAATGGCGTTTTAATTAGACATAGTCTTCTTGCTTTGGCATCTCCATTTACATATCCATATCTCCTTTGTGTAATGTGCTTCAAATGAACTAAGCGATAATATCAACAACGTTATACAGATGTCTCCTCTTTGAATTATTACATCCAATCAATTATTTATAGCTACATGTTTATGGAAACAAGGGGCACAAAGTAACAATGCTCAGTCACTGCAGAAAATAGTCTAAGGGTATTTTATTATTATACATTTTTTTTTTTTTTTTAGGGGGAACATTTAATTAATTTTAAACACATTCAAGAATTATACAAATTTTATTTTTATACACAGACACGTATTTCGTGCTGTTCACAAATACATTACCTAGCAACGCAACAAAATGCTGAATTTTAAATCCTATTTTAATTAAATGTAATAATAATAAAAAAATATTGAAAAAAATAAATAAAAATAAATGAAATAATTTAAAAAATCTAAATTTAATAAAACAGGATTCCACCAGCTAAATGTTAGATACTAATACACTTTTTTTTAATATATTATGTTAAAAAGTGTGACCTCGTAAAAGTTTCCATTGCCATAAGCTATTCCATATTTTAATATTTACAATTTCTGCATTTTAATATAAAAATATATATTTTTTAAATTGCTGCATTCAAATTAAAATACCCAACCGAAAAATAAAAAAATAAAAAAAATCACACAGTTCACACCTATTTTTAATTGTATTTTAAATGTAAATTAAGAAGGATAAACAGTTCAATAGTTGACAATCAGGAGGTGGTCGGTTCTTGGCAATGAAGTGTTTTGAAGAAAATTATTAAAACGTTAGCTTTAATTGAAGGTTTTTTTTTCTCAAACGCACTTTCTGCCTTTGACGACCTCTTCTGTTTCAAACCCTTTTTATCCAATTTGTTCTGAGATTGTTAAATGAAGTCAAGACCTCCTTTCTCCCTTAATTCCATAATAAGTATTTCTCAATGGCAGCACCGCCTGGAATTAACACAAAGGGAAATCACAGGGAGAAAACAGCAGATTGTTCAAAATTGTCTTTATTAGGTGTAATCACAATAGGACAGGATAACTCCCCTCTTTATAAAGCAATAATTATTTTCATTATACAAACAGGATATTTTTCATGCAGAAAAAAAAAGTTTACATTTGTAATTTACATTTTTTTTTTTACATATATGGCTAAAGAGCTGGATAAATGTATTAAAATAAAAATAAATGAATAAAAAAAATATAAAAATATATGTGTACGCTTCTCTTAACATATTATAATAGCATCATTTTTAAAAAAAAAAACATTAAACATCTGTTTATTTTGTTTCTTTGAAATTCTGTTTGTATTTTTTATATATATATATTTTAGTGAAATTTAGATTCCTGACACATCTTTCTTTTGTCAATATTTGTGTGTTGTATATTTGCTTATTTTTCACACCCCTCCCCGATTTGCTAATCTGCTCGTGTCAGTCTCCAAATTTTCAATTAAATTCAGAAAAAGTCTTTTTTTTTTTTTAATGTGTCTTTATGTTAATCTTCAGCCGCTTAATTGGTACTGCAAACTAAGAGAGTCATTTCATTCTGCTCGTTTTATGAGGTTTTTCAGACCGTAAAAGTCTTAGTCGAGAAATGTGGCGTTTTCTTTATTGTGAAAACATCTTGAATGTCTGATTGCATGTAACATATACCAAATCCTTCAATATTTTTTTTTTTATATATATATATAAATAGACGTGAAACATATATATATATATAGGTGTATACATAAGGATATATTGCATTTGTTTATAATAAATGTGGCAATCGCTAGGAATATTGGAATATGCTTACAAAAATTAGACACAACATACGTGAACATAGAAAATATACAATAAACGTAGTACTAAGCTTTAATAAATCTACTTCTCACTTCGTGTACAATAGGGAAAGCTACCAGGAAATTAAATTAGAGAGAGTTCCCCTGCACTCAGCGTGTTGGGACCTCTCTTAAAGTTAACTTTCTAATCGGAATCCCGTGACTGACAAAGCAAAAACTGACATTAACAGTAAAAAAGTAAAAATAAAAAATTAATAAAAATAATAATAAAAAAGTTAAAAGACCCAAAATAGACCATCAGTTCTAGATATGTGTTCGCTTGCCTTTCTTACATGGTTTATTTGAGTCCACTTTCTCCAAGGGAACCTTGTGTGCACCATGAATGGGAGCATCAATTAACACCACTGGGGAGTGATAACATTTGCCTTATGATTTTATTTAAAAATATATATATATTTATAGATAAAAAAATTTAAGAAAGATATTCCAGAGGAGTTGAAACTTCCTGTTTTAAACCTTGGTGTGCCAGTTTTTTTTTGTTTGATATTTTTGTTTTTTTGAGGGAGGTTTTTAATGATGTGTTACCCCTCCTTCCCTTCTCGGGGACACCAAGGGTTAAATAAAAGTAGGAACAAAAAAAAAAGTTACATTGTCTTCTTCTCGGCCAGTGCTGTATGTTAATTGATTTTCATTATTCGGTGTAGGTTTGGTTCCAAAATCGCAGAGCAAAATGGAGAAAAAAGGAAAATACCAAGAAAGGTCCAGGCAGACCAGCTCATAACTCCCACCCTACCACCTGCAGTGGAGAGCCCATGGACCCCGAGGAGATAGCCAGGAAAGAGTTAGAGAAAATGGAAAAGAAGAAACGAAAGCAGGAAAAAAAGATGCTGAGGAACCAGTCTCGGGGCCAGCATTCTCCCAGCATGTCACTTCACACACCCAGCTCTGACAGTGACAGTGGCCTCTCCCAGACTCAGGACTCTATGGAGCCAAGCCACTCAGAAATGGGACAAAACAGAGACCTAACACAATCACGCTGTGACCAAACAGGGCAAACCTTTTTCCAAAGCCAAAGAAGCCCAGGACACAGGGACAGGGTTAGTGACAAGGACTCAAACACAGAGTCCAACCACAACTCAGGCTTGTGCCCAAATGCAAGGGGACCTGGCTTCCAGAAACTCAATCCCTTCAGTGTGGAAAGTCTACTGTCTGACTCACCACCAAAGAGGAAGGCAGGGCTGGAATTCCCTGGTTTATCCAGTCCAAGGACCTTGATTGGAAAAGGACACTTTCTACTTTACCCCATTACTCAACCTCTTGGATTCATAGTACCACAGACTGCTCTGAAGTCCAACTCTGGCCAGGACCTCTCCTGTCTGGGCCAGAGGGACTCCCTTCACAGTAACTCGGGTCAACCGAGTCAAAGTACCTCCCCAAACAATTTAACCAAGAACTTTTCATCAAAAAACACAAACTCTTCTTCCCAGACCACACTGACTGTATGCAAGACTGAAGGTGGATGTCATCAAGGGGACAGCACCAGTCATGCACAGTCTGGTCCAGGAGACACAGGGAATGGGCAGATGGACAATGCATATTCTGAACCAAAGTCTCCCTTGTCCCCAGCAAGTGACAACAAAACCAGAGACACCCCAGACTGTTCAGAGGAAACAACCTGTACCCCAAAACCTAGCATAGACTGTGAAAACATAGATATGGACTAAACCACCCCAAACAAACCTTCCCCTTCAGAATCTTACAGACTTCAGACATTCCCAGTGCTGACCCAGAAGACTTGTCTCACCTCATAATTACTTTTTACCTTCAGCCTGTAGAAAAAAAAACAACTAACGAATCTAACTTATAATAATATTAATCAGGTGCAATTATTTTAGTAAGAGCAGCAGTGAACAAGATTTAATTAGCAATTTCAACTGAATAGGAGAGAACTGTACTACTATATAATAATAATAAAATAAAATAAAAAACAGAAAAAGAGAGACAAACAAAAAGCAACGAAAATCCTCATTCTTGTAAAATGCAAAAATGTATACAAATATTTATATATGTAAAACCTTTTTTTTTTATATAAATAAAGCTGAAAACTGTGCTTCACGTCTGGTGGTGTAAAGGGAACCATACTGCTATCAAATATTATATGTAATGATAACTAGACATGCAATCCATCTAATATGATGTTTGTGTGTGTGTGTGTGTGTCTGTGTATGTCTGTGTGTAAATATATATATACAGATAGACAGATTAAGCGATAGTGGGCCCAATAGGTTTGAAAGGTTAAAAAGCATATATGTTCTGTCTGTCTGTCTGTCTGTCTAGCTATCTTCTTTTTGAGATAAAAATGTACATATATATGTTTTCTTTTCTTGTGTTTATTTAAAACACACACACACACACACAATTTCCTTTTATTTAACATACACACACACACACATACACACACTATTTCCTTTTATTTAACACACACACACACACACACACACACACACACACACACACACACACTATTTCCTTTTATTTAACATACACACACACACACACGTATGTTTGTATGTAAAAGCATTTATATATATCTATATATTTATATATAGAAATATATATATTATACATCTACATACATACCTTTTTTTTCTTTTCTTCCGTGTGTTTGTGTTTATTGCTTAACAAATTTATGCATTCCTAGCCCCCCCTCCTCCCTCCCCCTTAGCCTCCCTGACACACACACACAAGGTTAGGAGCTGCAGGCTATAGGACCCGGCCAGCTCCTGCAGAGTTTTGATATGAAAGTAATTATTTTCTCGGTGGCTGCTGCAGGGATCCAGTTTCTTGCCCAAAGGGTTATTATACATTACCGATTTCCAGTGATATGAAATCACATAAACTTCCTACAATAATAGAATTAGCATGAAAGGCTGGGGTGTCAAATTGAAATTGGAAAATAATAGAATCAGCAGCTGTGGGAGTGTGTGTGCATATTGGATGGGAGATGGGGATTCGTGGGGTGGAATTTTCATGAGTTTTTTTCTTTGTCAGGGCTCTTGTAGCTGGCTATATTAAGATAGATGTTCAATGATAGCCCTCATTGTTCTGTCGCTTATATTGATGTTGCTGTGTTATCAACCTATTGATCATATGTCGCTTGTAATAGGACAGGCGAAGCCAATGCTGCTTTATACAAAAGCAGAACACATTTGTTCTAATAGGGTTGTGTGTCTCCTGGGACCCTTTGTGGGCCACAGGACATCTGCACCACAAATAAATATATATATATTAGCCAACTTGGCTGTTTGTAAAATGCAAGTTTTTTTTTTTTTTTAAATATGTTTTTAATTAATTAATTTTTTTCATTTTTTTTTATTTTTTTTAAATTTAATTCTTCAAACATAGCTCCCTGTATCTTTTCCTTTACATGAGTAAAAAAAAAAATATATATATAAAAAAAAATATTTAAAAACCCATTAAAAAAGCGTAAAAATTTAAAAGAGAGAAAAATAATAAGAATACTAAAAAAAAAGATATATATATATATTTTGTGTGTGTGCAAGACTCTGTATGATTAGAGAAAAACCCAACCAATTCTGAAAGAGACTGAATTCCCAATTATTAAAAGCATTAATTCTGGCGAGGCTGTGCACAGTAGAATTATGTTTACAGCCTCGTTAAATATCCCTGATCCCTCCTGGTCATCAGTCCTTTATTTGCAAATAAATTGAAAATAATCAGACGGACAGGCTTTGCAGTTCGTGCTGGCACAAATGAATTTCAGAGCCTCAGTCCCTTTAATAATATTTACATAATTTTCGCTCAGTGACTCTGATATTTGCTCTCTAGGAGACACAGCTTATAGGGAAAAAAATAATTAGATCAAAAGAGAGAGAGAAAAAAGATGGAAAATAGTGAGAGAACAGGAACTAAGTCTTTCTGAAATAAGACCATTTAACCAAATCCATCTCTTACTGTAAAATTTCACATAAATAATCAACACTCTACTTGGGACAAGGGCTAAAGTGAGATTTATTATACGAATTCAATGTATCGCTGGAAATGATGTATTCTGTGTTGCCCCCGTAGTGTATTACCAAGAAAATAATATACTATTTTCTAAAGAAAAAAAATAAACCTAAAAAATAGCTTCCTGTAAAAAGTAACATAAAATAATATTTATTCTAAAAATAATCCTTACAAAAATATTATTTAAAAAAAAAAAGAATTTAGGAAACGACAATGGCTTTACACCTTCCAGGGAATAATAAAAAAAAAAAAAATAGTAAAATATTTATAAAACGTATAATATTTTTTATAAATATTATTTTTATTTTATTAAGGACTGTAGGACAGGATGGTAATTTTACCACCTCAAATAAAAAAAAAATTAAATAATAATGTTAAAAAAATCTCAATAAACTGTAAAGTAAAAATAATGCTTATACCATTATATTATTATTATTATTTTTTTTTTTTAAAAAAGAAACTTTGTTACAGCTCTTTCCTATTAAGCTGCGTTAAAATATCATTCCAACGTAGAAAATTGTAGCTGAAAGGAATAAAAAAAAAAAATAAAAAAAAAAATAGTGTCTAAAAAACGGTGGTTATTTTATCTAAGGTGAATAATTTGTCTGTGAGCCATAACTTGCTCCTTTTCTTCAATTTGCAGCTGTTCATTTGGATACAGAGGGGTGGTGGTGTGGTGGTAGTGGGGAGGAGGGGGAGAAAAAAAAAAAAAAAAAAGGGCTCATGTTTAATGGATATGCAGTTTGAATGTTGAAGTATATCTAGCCTCACACTCATGTCCTTAAGGTGAAATTACTGATTTACTTAAGCAGTTTAGCAGTTTTTTTTCTCTCTCTGAAAACCCCAAAAGCAGCAGGCTGTGTGATTCTAGACAAACTATCAATCGATCTGGAGCAAGGCAGCCTTTAGGAGATGTGTCCTCCATGAATCAAATGTTATGAATTCAATTTCTTCTAGGAGAAATTTTCAATTTGAACGCCGGATCATTATGGAAGAGTGTAAATTGTTTTTGGTCTATTATGCATTGGACGCCATCATTTTTCTTCCTAATTACAGAGGTGTCAGGTCGGGCTGTCATGCAAGCGCTGATTTTCAATTTAACTGATCATCATACATTCATTTTCCCATTTGATAAATCTGCTATCTAGAAGCCTCTCCATGCTTAGAATATTAAGAGACAGGCAGCACAGAGCTCTGTAATAGGGAGATGTGTATGCAGTTATAAGTGTAGATCAGGAAAGCTAATTTAGCACCTCCTGCTTTTTCTATCTCAATTTCTCATTTTCAATTCTCTAAGGAGTAGAAAAAAAAAAAAAAATCTTAAAAAAAAAAAAAAATCAGCCTACAGGCTGAACTCCTATCCAACAGCAACGGGAAAGGGAAAAAAATATATATATAAATAAATAAAATAAAATAGAGAGAGAGAGAGAAAATCCACCAAAACGCTTGTTTTCTATTACACAACTTCCAAATTAGGATATCAAGCTTAATTAATGCTAATTGAGTTCTTCAATACGTGTTATTTTTATTTAATAGAAACAAATTTGCACAATTAATTATAGACGTAATTTCAAGTGCCTCGTTTAGAATACACTCTCTCCTGCCTAAAAAAATGCCTTTGTTAATTAAGAGATTGGGGGGTGGGGTGGGGGCGGTTTGGGAACAATTGAGGGGCGAGGGGGGTAGATCTGAGGTTTAGATCTGGGGTTGAAGAAGGGGGGCAGATGGAGTTATTATTGGGAGAGAGTGGGGGGTATTTTGAGTGGGGGGGGTATTTTGTGTTATTTTTTCTAAGGTGTTTAAGGGGAATAATAATTTAGTGATGAGGGGGTTAATGTTGGCTCTTCAAGCCTTCTAGAAAGTAGAGCTGCTGGGAAGACTGTGCAAGGCTCATCATGCTAATCCAGAGCCTGGATGGCTGAGCCTGATGAGAGTGGCAGTGCTTCTCCTTTTTATTTTATTTTTTTAAAGAATGGTGCTGAGATTGGATCCATTATTAATACATTTCTGCGGTTGTTGGTTTTTTAGCTGATCATAACAAAGTAGATAGGGATAGGGAAGTAGAAATGAAGGGTAGAAGGAAAATAATTACAAGGAGCCCCTCGAAATGAGGACATTTTGGGCTATTTATCAAAGTCTACAAATAGCATACTTTGCAGATCCTGCTTTTCCTGACTTCTATTTTTTCTTTAATAAATACCTCTGTTTGACTTGTTTTATATTGTACATAACCCAATGCTGTGTAGCACCTCTTGTGTGGACCAGGGCTTCCTTGGGTTTTAGTAATTGGAATGTGTTTTGTGTTTGTTTGGGGATCAATAGTTAATTGATACATATTTGCAACATTGTACGTCTTGCAGATTTGTGAAAAATGTGTATAAGCAGCTATTTACTTTTTTTGCAGTGCAAGTGTCAGTTATATTGTTCTCCAAACACTCACGTTTTTAATGCTGTTTTTTTTTTATTTTTTTTTATTTTAAATCAGCTATCAGTATAACGCCAACATGATCCGTGGCGATCCACAGTGGTTTGGTATTTTGTCGGCTGCACTCATGGGTGCAAGCATTAGATGGCATTGAATGCAGGGCACAATTATTATTTTCAATATAATATATAGTAGAAAAGGAAAGAAAACAAACACACACACACACACATACACACATACACACATACACACACACATACACACACACACACACACACACACACACACACACACACACACACACACACACACACACACACACACACACACATACACACACACACACACACAGACACATACACACACGTTGTGTACAACTTTCTGGGAACAGAGGTGTTAACAATAAGTCTGCAAACTGTCAACATAATTGAATGAAAGCTCAATTCTCTCTGTAAGTGGTGAAGTTTGTGTTTATATCACAGAGCACTTAACTAAGGTGGATAACAAATACAATCTTAAAATTAAACGAGCAGTAAATTGGACATTTTACAAATAAGCCCAATGATTGAATTTGACTGGAGTTTCAAC